CGCAGAGTGCAAGGAGGATCCAGCCCACCACGTCATTACCAACGCCGGCAGATAACACGATGACACCGACGCGCGTCGGCAGCAGCTTCAGCTCAGTGAGGATACGACACAGCACGGGGAAGGCCGTGATGGCCATGGCGATACCAATGAATAGCAGATAGGTACCGAAGGCGATGGGCTTGGTACTAGGGTCATCGTGGAACTCGTGATAGAGGCCATACGAGATAGCACAACCCAAGCCGAATGGCAAGATCATGCCCGCAGCAGAGACACTCAAAGCGACCCGCCAATTACTGACCAGAAAGCGGAGGTCGGTCTCGACACCGACCAAGAAGAGGAAGAGTATCAGGCCTAGATTGGCCACTACATTGAGGCTGGGAATGCTGGCGGTCGGGAAAATAGCGTCGGTAAATCCGGGGATGCGACCCATCACCGATGGGCCCAGAACAATTCCCCCGATAACCTCTGCGATCACTCGGGGCTGACGAAGCTTCGAGAGGGGCCAGTGGATCAGGCGGCATAGCACGATAATTATAACAGCCTGGTTATCAGTAGATATCTCATTTGTCGGATGGCCACATAGTTACCTGGATAATAAACAGAACAAGTGGGTTCTTAGAGTCATAATGGGTTGGGTTGCCGCCTTCAAGGATGCCACCCTGCGGACTGACTACGTTCGTGCTGTTGGCCGTAGCCGTAGTGGTCGCGTCGGCGGTCGCCATACTGGATAATATCCAGCTTAGGCAGAGAGGACAGGCAAAGGGGATTTTGTAAATCAAGATGTTGGAGACTGAGATAAACGAAAGTGGGAGTCAGCTTGAGCTAATACGAGGGCCAATAAGATTTAAAGTACCACGGATCTTTCTTAACGGGTTGGGCTTCGCTAATCTCAAATTGGACTAGTCGAAAGCTAAAGGATTAAACCGTCCATGGATTAGATGATAACATCACGAGAAGTCATCTTCTTTGGCTTCTCTTATTGACGCGGGAAACAAAGAAACATCACCGCATCCGGCCCTGGAAAGAGCTCTACATTCCTTATTTTACTCCAAACCACGATCATCCCAAAAGGATAATCAAGTATCGATAATCTCCGCTTTTATTTAAACTTCCCACGTGGTGATGGTAACAGCTCGGGCCTTTCTGAGGCAGATGATCTACCCCAGATTATCTGCCCCAAATACAACCCCACAGTATTTTAACAAATCACAAAAGCACGGTTGCTTTGGAGTGCACCTTGATAATGTGACATTTAGTTATACATATTTACATGTCCTTTTCTCTTACAAAATTTCTTACTATAACTGACTATCTATGCAGCTGAAACTCACCTCACCGGGCCGAGTGGTGTTGCACAGCAGCTGGAGAATCGACATCTTGTGCGGGCTTAGGTACTTTGCTGGACAAATTTTCGACTTCGTTCCCGCGCCCTTGTGGAAAGTACTGCTGTTTCTCTTTTACTACTCCCTCTGATATTATTGAAGAAATTTGGTTGTTGGGGTCTGAGGATGCTCTAGTATCCAAGAGTGTGCAGCAGGTTAAACTCGTGAATGGCTTAGCTGGTGGCTCGAGCGGGTGTCTCAGAGTTGCGCAGCAAATAAATCGCTCATTGGATGGCTTTCCATGTCAACATCAACAGTACTGTGTTGTGGGTAGACCTCAACTTTGCGATTCCTTAGGGGCAAAACTAATGTTGGGTTACGATACTCAAATTTTGTCTGGACTATCAGGTTTATCTTTTTCGATTTTAAAATATCAAGACAATGTCTTTTATCAGTATGTATAAAGGAGACAGGTATCAAATTATGCAGTAATGAGACTGATCAGAATTCTAAGGCAAAAGATAGTTGGCGAGGTTTACTATAGTAAAATTGAATGTTAGAGTGATGGGTATGGTAGGACATGGAGGAGGAAGTAGTTTGTATATGTTGACCGTGTGAGACAAAACGGATCCCCTGGATTTAGCACCCTGGAAGAAACAACCAGAGATACCCTACATGAAAGGTCGATAAACAAGACCTCGAGACACATGCGTTTCTCTACCGTTTCGGTGTAACTATATTGGACTAAAGAAGATACTAAAAAGGACACCAGGGAAGACACCAAGAAAGACGCGACAACTCTTGGAGTGTGGTCGTACTCTTTAGAATAGGCAGGGACGAAGAAGTTGTTCTCACAGATACCTATATATACCTCGAAGTTGTCATCATCACACTTCTTCCTTCCTGGAGGTTTCTCGTGGGCAGAGTCCGATCGATGAGCCGCGACTTCAAGAGTTGATGTGGAATTTCTCAAGACACATCGATATGATGAGCTGCGTTATGGACACATCTTCTTGAGAGTCATGGCAATACCTTATTCTCGACAAGAAGAGCACGGGCACTCCACTCTGTTGGAGAAGAAGCGAACGCCCTAGATCGCCTCGTCATTCCTCGGTGGCGTCAAGTATGTTGCCTTTGCATCTCATCGCCGGAATCTGTCATTCATAGAATGCCTCCAAAGGCGAAGGCACCCAGAACAGGCCCGCAGAGCATGCCTAATCATAAAAAGGCTCCTTGTTTGGTAAGATTATGGTCGCGGTCCGCGATTACTTAGACCGCAAAATCGACAAGACACAG